TTTTACTATTTATGGCTCTTTTTTCGTTTGGTTGTTCATGACAGCTAATATCAATTTAAATTTATTTTGTAAATTGATATCTACAAATATAGAAAAAAATTGTTATAAATTGATAAAATAAACCAAATCTTTTTTAATAGATCATGGATTTTTTTATCCATATTAATGTGTATGAATTTAATTTAAATTATTTATTTTTTTCCATGATTAAGTAAAATTTTGTAGTTTATAATATAAAAATACAATTATTGAATAGGGTTCTTATCATAGTAGCGGAGACCCTTCTTAATTAATAATTAATATTTTTTACAGTTTAATATAGTTGGAATACATTATACTTTTTTTGTTAAGCAAAAATAATAAAAATAATAACAATCTGTTAGTCAAAGTAAAATGAGTTTCATTTCTTTTAAATAAAATTTTGAGTTTGAATATTTTTAAATGGAAAAAACTCTTCCTTTTAGGATCCGACTTAATATGGCTTTTGGATACCAGATGATTAATAAAAATAAAAATAAAAATATTATATTAAAACACTCCCCTTTTTATTATGTCACAAAGAAAATCTAACGGATTAAGAAACGTCTCAATTAAAATCCAATGGTCCAGATTAAATCAAGGGTTTAGGGTGGGCTCATGGTCCATCAAAACATAGAAACCTATACGTATACCCTCCCCCAGTCCCCATCGAACCACATATATAATGGACTTCAAGTCCAAATCCAATTCCAAAATTTTTTTTTCTTTATTTCCCCCAAACGCCAAACGCGTCTTTTCTCTCTCCTCCCTTCCTCGATAAAAAGGCCGAACCAGAACTTAAAAAAAAAAAAGAATATCTCAGGTCCAATTCGATTAGGGTTTCTTCAGGGCGGCGGAAAATATAAAGTTCTAAGCTTTGAAGCTCCAAGCCCATTAAACTCTCTCGTCTTCCTCTTTGCGCTCTCTCTGCCAACAATTTGAAAATATTAATTAAAAATTCCTTCGACTGTTCTCCAGAAGAAGGCAAAACCATCTGCTCTCGGAATTTTTTCCCGCGAAATAAGGTATGTTGTTTCAGTCTTTGATATCTTCGCCGGTTTTTTTTTTTTTCGTTTTCTTTTTATGTATTATTCGTTTTGGTTTTGTTACTGGGGTGGCACTTGTGGGTGGATGCTGGATCTGGGGATGGATGGTGATTGCAGAGAATGCTCTTTTTTTTTTTTTTCCTATTCTGATATTAAGTATTCGTGGGTATGCTTCAATTTTTTTTTTCTTTTTTTGCAAGTGTTTGGGGAGTTTAGTTCATATAATGTGTGGTGTTCTTTAATTATGAGGCTTCTTCAATCCGGGTTTTGTTCAGTCTATAACTTGGTATCGGTGTGTTTAAGCGTTTGTAAGATTGATACATAGGAATTGAATCCAGTTCTTGAACTATGTGCTGATTGCTACTTGCTTTGATACTTTTCAGCTTCTGTTAGGAGTTGAGATTAAGTGTGTTTTTATAATGTTTAATGTTGAAACTCAAGTAGATATCAATATCATCCTACTACATCTGTATATTTTTTTTAAATCCTTTTTGCGGACTTTTTGGGGAAAAAAATTGGTTTGGTTGTTCTTTTGGGATGTGAAAGGGGAGGATGGGCTGATGGTGGTGGGAAGACCCCAAATTAATTGCCAACATTTATTAGCAAATAAGACTTAAGAACTCCAGGTGTAAATAATTGTCAGTGGACCTGGTTATGCTTGAATTAGGGTCCAAGGTGCCTTTGTTTTTCGTTCGGAGTTGATTTCATATCCTGGATATGCACTTCTCTGAAATTGTTTTAAATATCAAATTTTCTGCTTTGACATGTCAGTTCAATTAGTTATGTGCATGCTCATTGTGCCTGAGGTGTGTGGTACTTGGGTGTATCATATATATTTGAGTGATATACTTGGGTGTATGTGCAAGCTCCTGTTCTGATATGTCATCATGGAAATAAGTATCTGTTGTATGATGATAAGAATCCATATGGTCTTCATGCCACTATCTTGAATATATGCTGTCTACTTGATGCCTTCTCTACATAGTCAAAGTCAATGCATCTGAGTTTAATTATCTACTTTTTGTTTGTTTCTCTTTTATTGCAGGGGTATAACATCTTTATTTGAAATGGATGCTGCTATTGTTCCAGTGTCACCTATTACCCCTATTGTTAATGCTGAGCCACCTAGTTCTGAAATGCAGCCTAATAAGCGGAGAAGAAAGAAATCCGCTGTCTGGGATTACTTCACTGTAGAGACTGTTGGAGATGGGTGTATTAGAGCCTGCTGTAACCAGTGCAAAAAATCATTTGCTTATATTACTGGTTCAAAGCTTGCTGGCACAAGCCATCTCAAGCGACACATTGCCTTGGCAATCTGCCCAGTGATCCGTCAGAAAAACGAACAGACACCAGGCTTAATCACCAGGAGTGCTACTGGTCAGCCCAAAAAACGCTACAGAAATGCAAGCACCCCTTTTGATCAGGAGCACTGCACACATGAGATGGCTAAGATGATTATAATGCATGAGTATCCGCTCCACATTGTGGAACACCAAGGTTTCTCTGAATTTGTGAAGACTCTTCAACCGCAGTTCAATATGGTGAGCTTCAACACCATTCAACAAGATTGTGTAGCTATGTTCCTGAGGGAGAAGCAAAACCTTCTCAATTTTATTAGTGGAATCTCTGGAAGAGTCAGCCTAACATTGGATTTGTGGACTTCTAATCAGACTGTGGGCCATGTTTTCCTGACAGGACACTTCATTGATACTGAATGGAACTTACATCGTCGTATCCTTAATGTAATCAGGGTTCCTTATCCTGATTCCGATGGTGCTATTAATCAAGCTGTTGTGTCTTGCCTAACTGATTGGAATTTGGAGAACAGACTATTAACTCTCACTCTTGATGAATCCTTTGCAAATGAAACCCCAAATGGAAATCTAAGAGGCTTTTTCTCTGTCAAGAATCCACTAATGCTCAATGGCCAGTTATTGATAGGAAATTGCTATGCTCGGGTCATCAGTCATCTTGCACAAGAGGCATTAGGGGCTATGGGTGAAACTGTCCAGAAAATTCGTGAAAGTGTGAAGTATGTGAAAACTTCGGATGTTTGTGAAGATAAGTTTCTTGAGGTGAAGCAACAACTTCAAGTGCCTAGCACAAAGGATTTGTTCATTGATGACCAAACAAAATGGAATACAACATACCATATGTTGGTCGCTGCTGGCGAACTAAAAGAGGTATTTGCTTGTTTGGAAACTGCTGATCCTGATTACAGGATTGCTCCAGGAATGGATGATTGGAAGCGGATGGAAATTCTCTGCTCATTTTTGAAGCTTTTCTTTGATGCAGCTAACATACTGACTTCCCCAACATATCCAACTGCCAATTTATTCTACCATGAAGTGTCAAAACTTCAGCTTGACCTGACACATGCAGCTTTAAGCCGAGACCCCTTTATTAGCAACCTGATCAAACCTTTGAAGGAGAAGTTTGACAGATATTGGAATGATTGCTGGCTCGTTGTAGCAATTGCTGTGGTACTGGATCCAAGATTCAAAATGAAGCTTGTAGAGTTCAGCTTCTCTAGGATCTATGATGATGATGCTGGAATGTGGGTCAAGATGGTTGATGATGGTCTTCATGAGCTCTTTTCTGAATATGTTTCAGAGCTACTTCCTCCACCTGAAACTTTTGTAGAAGAAGGTAATGATGGTGATGTCCCCAAGAATGAGATGCCTGAAAAAGGAACCATTCGGGAAAAAGATACCTCCCAAGAGGGATCTCCTCAGGAAGCACCTACTCAAGATGAATCTCTTCAAGTAGCCCCTCAAGAAGGATCGTTTCAAGGATCCTCTGAAGAAGCATCACTTCAAGGACCCCTACATGACGGATCATTTCAAGGACCCCAGCAAGACGCATCACTTCAAGGACCCCCACATGATGGATCATTTCAAGGAACCATGCAAGACGCATCACTTCAAGGACCCCTACAAGATGGGTCGTTTGAAGCACCACCTCAAGAAGTAGCTTCCCAGGATCCACTCATTTCTATTGGAGATGGGCTTTCAGATTTTGAGGTATATATCTCTGAGTTTGGTGGTAGCCAGCAGATGAAATCAGAATTGGATCAATATCTTGAAGAATCTCTTTTGCCAAGGCTAGCAGATTTCGATATTTTGGGCTGGTGGAAACTAAACGAGATAAAGTATCCTACTCTCTCTAGAATGGCTTCTGATATTTTGTCAATACCATTTTCAGTTGCTGCCCCTGATTCTGTGTTTGACACGGATAGAAAGCAGATGGATAGCTACCGGAGTTCATTACATCCAGTGACAGTAGAGGCTCTCATTTGTTCCAAGGATTGGCTTCAATATGGAGCATCATCAGCACCGGAGTTTGGGAATGGAATTGTGAAAATGGAATATTAGGTGTAGATTTCTTTTTATTTTGTCTTTCTACAGGCTACATTTTATTTCGTCTTTCTACAGGGTACAATAGTCTTTTAGTTTTGATGTTTTGCAGTGGTTTTCTTCAATTTAACTCTACTTCCCAAATCTAATCCCCTTTTTTAATATAAGATGGTTTTTTTCCCAGCCACTGGCCAGGATTCTCGTTATTGTCATTTCTTACTTTGGATCATGCAGAAAATCATTCTCTCAAATGCAACCAATGCTTCTATTTTATTTTAAATAAGTTTTTAACAAGCCTTATGAGATATATATACTATAATATATGAGACTGGAATGCGGGGCTTCCAGTGTGTGTGTTGCCGTAACAGGATAACTTGGAAATCCTGTTGCAGGATAAGGCTGGTCAGGCTGATTTTGTCTTCCCCAGTTTGTTGCACTTGCAGGCATCAAAGGAGCTTTACAATGGGTAAGCCAGCCAGATCTTGCCTATGCAATGGCAAATATTGTGGAAGGACCTTTCAATGGCAAAAAGGTCTGCTTTCATGACTGAAACATAAAACAGAATAAAAAAGAGCAATACTACCATAAAATAAATAAAAATTACATTAGTATTAATAGCGTCCATTTCCTGTCTGAATTCCTGACGAGAATGTCAAAGTCTGAGCTCCTCCTCTTCTCTAAATTTATATCAATATGAACATTTTTTGTTCACGACTTTTAGTAAAATAAGAACGGAATTCTTCTTTTTTTTCTTATGCCATTAGTAGAAAAATATTTAAAGATTAATTAATCATATCTGATTGTGCTCTAATTTAAGAACAAATTGATAGATGTTATATCTATATAACCATGGGTTACCACTTCTTAGTAATATTATATAGTTCTAAATCATAGAATATACAAAAAGCAGACCATAAATTCCATTAAAGAAAATGTATAAATAAAGAAGTTAATTTTTATTTATTTAAAGATACTAAATTTGTTAATTTTTAAATAAGAATATTAATTTTTAACCTTTTTTTATTTAAAAATATTAACTTTCAATATTTTTTATTCAATAATATCAAATTTCAATAATTTATATTTAATAAAGTTAATTTTTAACATTTTAATTAAAAATTTCGTTTGTAACATTAGTTTTACTATCAGATTAATCTTAAATAGAAAAAATTAAAAATTAACATCTTTAAATATAAATAATTAAAAGTTGATATTTTTATTTAAAAATTAATAAAATTAATATTGTTAAATAAAAAAATAAAGTTAATATTTTTGTTTACCTCTTTTCTTAATCTTATTAAGATTTAGGATTCAATTTCCACACATATAAGGCATAGTGCCTCAACCACTGTACTAGCAGAATCACCCCTTCGTAAGTGTGCTTCAA